GAAGAAGCCAATTGCAAGAAGTACAGCCAGAATGCTTCTTAGGAGAAAGACAGGCCAGACGTCATCTCGTGTCTTTTGGACATGTTAGCAGGAGAGACCAGTCCCTGGAAAAGGACACTAAGCTTGATAAAGTCGAGGGCCAGTGGAAGAGAGGAAGGTCTTCAACAAGATGGAATGATACACTGATTGCAACAACGGGTCCAAACAACTGCGCGGATAGACGTTTAGTTCTGTTGGTCATCGGCCGGTTAACAAGTCGGCTCTGCAGGGACAGTGTCGCGTTAGACCCGTGTGTCTGAGCTGCTGCTTCTTCGACTACGTTTTTTCTTCCAGATTCAGGGACTCTGCCCTTCTGTGCGTGAACTCTGGCCACCTGGCTAGCCTTAGACTTCTCCTCCTCTTGCCCTCTACTACCCTCTCCCCTGTCATCCCCTTCCAGGGACTCAACTACAGCTGTGTTGAGATTGTCTAGGGGCCATGCCCAGCCCTTGCCCACTCCCCTCTCAGGACTGGGCTGGGGCCAGCCCACACCAATGCAGACCAGATGCACCAGCTGCTCAGCAGGGAGGCCAGTTCTCCAGTTTCAGGGTGGAGCATGATGGGGGAGAAGGGGAGGAGGCACCAGAGGGAACCGAGAAGGGGGTTCCGGGGCTTCCTCAGCCCCGAGTTGCCAGATACCACTGGTGCTGGCAAGGGCAGGAAGCATGGGACCCAGGTGACCGAGTGACCCCAGAGCTCCTACCTCAGGGATCAAAGGTCAAGGTATGTTGAGGATACTGGCCTACTCTATGTTAACATGTCCCAAATTGCCGCTCCACGTTTAGGGACAGGACTGTGCCCACCTCCCACCCCCAGCAGCGCCTTCCTTCCCTCCTCTCCCTTTTCCTGCCCCCCCCTTGTTCTTATTTCTTTAAGAGAATGTTGACCAGAATCCACCAGGGAGCGTAACAGATTGGGTCCCTTGTCCCCCAAAGCGCCAGCCGAGAGGAGGAGACGAGGAAAGAGCCATTCAACCGGGACTGTAAGAACTCTGACGCGAGATGTACGAGACACTGGGACACCCCAGAACCGGTGTGCCAGAGACACGGGGGGCTAGAACTCGGGCTGCAGGGAGAACCCACAGAGACGCTAGCGGTCACTGCAGTACCCTGGGTCTCCTTCACCGGGCTGCCAACTGCTACCTCACCCCCGTGGCTCTCAGCCTTCCTCACGCCGCGACCCTTTCATACAGCCCCTCATGTGGTGGTGACCCCCCAACCAGAGCATTATTTTCGTTGCTACTTCATAACTGTAATTTTGCTGCTGCTATGAATCGGGCGACCCCTGTGAAAGGGTCGTTTGACACCCCCACACCCAAAGGGGTCTCGACCCACAGGTTGAGAACCGCTGCTTTAACTGTTCACTTAACTGTCAACTTAGTCTCCCCGCCAACGTCTGCTCTCCGTGCTAAGGCTCATCTGTCCGTCTGTGCTGCGGGAAATGTCCCCGCCCACGGCTCCATTCTCTGCTCACTCGGGCCGTCCCATCCCTGACAGTTGAGTGGTTCCATCGCCTTGTTAAGCTCTGGGGGTGTTCTAGCCACGCGAGGGTCCTCACACTGCCCTGAGTGGGGCACGGTCACCGGGCCCTTTGCATGTGCTGCTCCCGTCGCAGAACTGCCTCCACCCTTCTAACTCCTGCCCCCTCCTGCTGGGCCCACTCAGCAGTGACTTCCCAGCATGGAGAATGTCACAGAAACTGTGCATGCGGTGAGGGCTGGGTTGGGAGGTGCCTCCTCAAACCTTCCCGGCTTGACCCTCTCGCCTCTTGCCCAGCGCACCGGTGCTTTTCTGAGCCGCCCGAAGCACGCGTGGCCACTGGGAGTTCCCTACTCCTGCTGGCCTAGGGTTCCTGGGAGAGGCAGGCCTTTCTGCAGCGTGTTTGGAGCGACCTGGTCTATGGCCCAGTGACGTGGGGCAGGGACGGTGAAGAATGAGCTTCCAGACCGATGAAGACATAGGGCCGGTCCCGGCACAGGCTGCTCTCCGGGGCATTCTGTCTTTTTTGCCCTCATCTCGCCACTACTCCCCATATCCCTAACAGGACGCGTGGGGACCGGGCAGAGAGTCACGTGCAACGAGTGACTACTCACAAAGCCGGTGGCAGACAGCGCCTTGACTGAGGTCTAATGCCTGTTCCAGCCCTGCCAGCCAGGCCTTGGCTCCTGAGGGCAGCGCCAGCTCCTGCCAGCACTGTCAGGTGAGGCTGCCCCACGCAGGTGCAGGGAGCTCTCCAGCAGCCCAGAGGTAGCTTGGCTAGACTCATCACTGCAGGCGCAGGGCAAGCCCGGGACTGGGGGTGCATGTTGGGCCACCAGGCAGTGGGAGGAGGGTACAGGGGGAGAAGGAGAGGGCCTGGATAAGCCACCTGTCCACTTTTACCTGGCTCTCAGATGCCAGAGAAGGGAAACGGAGCAGGTGAAAGGTCTTGGGAATGCATTAGCCCTGCGAGGCCGGGGAGGGCTCTGAGGCAGCCTGAGTCTGGAAGGTGCAAGCAGGGAGGTCATGGGCACTGCTGGCCTCCCTTGACACCTCTCTGACGGGCCAGGTGGCCAGACTTTGAAGCCAGGGGTATCCAGAGGACCCCCTGCCCAGCTCTGCTCTCCCCTCCCTCAACCAAGGCCTGGGAAATAGCTCTCACCCATACAAGGCTTGTCCACAGCCCTGTCCACGGCCAGGCCACGGACATCGGCGTGGGCAAGCAGGTGCTTGAACACACCTCACCTGCTCTGATACCTAGGATCTGTCTGCCACCCAGGCCGGCATTGGTGGGGAGCTGCTCAGAGGCCTGGGGAGAAAGCCGGGGCCCTGTGGCTGTTCCAGAGTGGCCCCGATGGCTTCCTTCTTTTCTTCTTTCTTTCCTGACTCCCGTGGACGAATTGTAAGCGTCCTGAATTAACTTGGAAGGCGGGCCCTGGCCCGCCCCTGTGGCCGGCCGCCTTACTGGAGCGCTCTGTCCAATGCCAATGTGCTCAGCAGAAAACAGGACCTGATGTGTGAGCCAATTCCCTCCCGTTCCCAAAGCTTTCTGGTAACTGGGCACTGGGGGATAGAAGAAAGGAAGTGGTATCAGGGCCTGGCCCTCTGGGAGCCCCTCCTGGTGCAGAGTGCCCCCGGGCAGAGGAAAAAGCCGTGACCGGAAGGGAGGGCCAGCTTGGGAAGAAGGCAGTCCCCAGACTCCATGGACTTCAGCAAGGCAGGCCCAGTTCCTCCTCAGCTCCCGTGTCTCCCTGCGGCCCCAATCCCAGTCTGCAAGGAGAAGGGCCTGGAGGGGCTAGTGCCGGAAACAGGAGGGGAGGGAGCATGCGGCACCCTCTCTAAGCTGGGCCCCACTTTCAGTGAAAAGAAGAATAGGCTCTCCCCCACCTCCCTGTGTCTGGTCGCCTACAGTACGCCTTCAACTGCCATTCCAGGCCTCGGCTGGTGTCGGGGCAAGTGTCTCCACTGTTCCCACTCCCACGCCCGCCCCACGAGCCTCTGGATCGCCACGGTGCTGGAGGAAGGATGTGGGCCATCAATGGACACTTCTTGGTGGTGTTCCCCCACCCCACCCTGCTTCAAGTGGCACCAAGGGCATGTGCCACACCAGCCCCCACCTCTGGGTGCCCCTTCCGCCCCATTCTCGGCTTGGTTTGAGTGGGCGGTGGGGCCAGCTTGCGGCTAGGGCTGGCTGAAGCCAGACAAGCACCCTGTGGCTTGGCCTTTCTGCTCTTTGGGGAAGCAGCCGGGGCTGTGTGGAGGTGGCCTGATTCTGAGGTGAGCTCCCCTTTCCCACCGGCTCCCACCTACCTGAACTTCTGGACCTGACTTCTTTGTCTTCGCTCCCACTGTCTACCTACTTGAGACTGTCTGCACTGGGCCTTGCTTGTAAAGGGCTGTGGAGTCAAACCGAATCGCACTCAGACCCTCACGCGTAGGTCCTCTGTTCCCGAGCCGTCTTTTCAGGGAGAAACAACCGGCTGCCACTGTGAGTGGACGGCTGGCTGTCATCCTCCTCCTTCCGTAAGAAGCTTGCTTGGGATGGATCGATGAATGACCTGAACTCCTGAACCCCTCTCTGTGCTTGGGGGCTGGGGTGGGGGGGGGCAGCTGCTGACAGCGGGCTGGGGGAGGGAGTGGGCAGGTCTAGAGATGAGAAATAGAGGTGGGGGTGGAGGGTGGGGGTGGGAAAAAAGAAATTGGGCCTCAGTGGGTGGTCTGCTAAGAAGCCCTCTGACACAGAAGCTCCCTAAAGGAAAGGGGCTAGACCTGTGCTTACCTGGGACAGTGACGACAATGTGACCAGCCCTGACAGGTGGATGCGGACTTAGTGGCAGGCTGGGGATCCAGTGTGGAGAGAGGCCCCTACTTCAGTTTGGGGACTGTGGGCACTGCTGCTCCTACAGCGTGGTCCGGGGCTCAAACAGGCCTGGCTCTGCCGGGGGAGGGGGGAGGGACTCGCAGAATCAAGGCAGAGACGGCTCACCTCCCCTCATCTCCCGGAGGGAAAGAAGGTGTGCAGAGACGGGGGCGTGAGCGTAACGGCTGAGTGCTGTTG